TTTTTAGGAATACAAAATTTAATATTCGTGTAACTTACGAACGGCGACAGATAATCGAATTCTGCAAGTTCTGCTGAATTGTGCTATGTACTTACAATCTGCGAGATACATGCGTTAAAAGTTAATATTAGCTTAACTGTCAATAAAAATTAACAAGAAAGTGTGGGGTGATTAAAAAATCTGGGATTTTCGAGTTTTCTTTGATTGTGCCGGATTGTGCTAGACCAGCACACCAACTTTTTCTAATGACAAAATTTCGTCAGATCGTCAGATTTCGCAGCACTGGCAAAGTTAGGATTCAGATGTTAGAAATTTGCATGCGTTTAAAAGCTGGATAAGTGCAAGAAAGATTGAGACCCAAACATTGTATACCGCAGTTTACCAGAGTCCATAACTGCAAAAAGACCAGTTTTCGTTCTTTCCCCACCATCTTTCAACATGCGCGTCGCAGTTATGGACTCAGCCGAGGAGTTGATTCTGTGTTGTTTATTCTATTATTATTGTTTATTTATTGTATTATTATTCTATTATTATCGTTAGCTTGTAAATTACTTTAATTTGCAATGAAAAGAAACTGTCCGGTTTCATGGAAATCACAGGTTCTTCCTAACATCATAAAGCACCTTTGCAGTCCATAGTTCCGCAGCATATTCTAAATAAATAAATAAATATAATTCAAACTATATCGTGTTTGGTATCATTTTAATCAGAAAACTCTCACAAATGCGTTAGTAAAAGTTTCATTAAGAAAAAGTTAAAAATAAAAAAGTTTTATCGTTGAATTAGTATTAGCCACACCACATAACAGTTCGAATCGTATTACAGTAAAAGCTGGATATATGCAACAAAAGTTTGGCTGGATATATGCAACATCGCTATCCCCTCCACTTGGGGGGATCCCCCAAAGCCGAACCGAGCCGCTCGGCGAGGAAATCGTGTAATATGATCCGACCGTAATATCGGTGTGACTAATACTAATTGAACGATAAAACTTTTTTATTTTTAACTTTTTCTTAATGAAACTTTTACTAACGCATTTGTGAGATTTTTCTGATTGAAATGGTACCAAACACGATATGATTTGAATTATATTTATTTATTAAAATAATAATAAAACTGTACATATATATAAGGCAGGCCGTACACCAAAGATACATCAAACACGCAACACGTCGCATGTTGTGTACGAACGTAGAATAGGTAACGCGGCACGGTACAAACGATTTGTACGGACACAGAATCGATACCAAGACTGGATATATGCAACGTTTAAATGCCCAGAATCGATACCTCGGCTGGATATATGCAACATTAAATGCCCAGAATCGACACCTCGGCTGGATATATGCAACGTTTAAATGCCCAGAATCGACACCTCGGCTGGATATATGCAACGTTTGAAACCCGAGCCGACACCGCAACCGGTTTTCATTTCCAATCCTCCTTTGCTTTTCGCCAACTTTTAACATCAATTTTAGCAAGTAATTATAATTGAAACTATATCGTGTTTGGTACCACTTTAATCACAAAAATCTCACCAATGCGCTAGTACAAGTTTCATTAAAAAAAAGTCAAAAATAAAAAAGTTTTTTTATTCAATTAGTATTAGTCACACCGATACGTTTCGGCTCTTTCCTTTGATCATCGGACCTCTCTCTTTCTGCCACTGTCTGTCCTTTTCTACGTTCACGCTTGGCTGCTCGTCGCGTGTAACCCGAGATTCGACACCTCGACTGGATATATGCAACGCCTGCGTCCCAATGTTTGTTGCATATATCCAGCTTTTACTGTACACGGCTTCCTCGTCGAACGTCTCGGTTCGCTTAGGGGGATCCCCTCAAGTGGAGAGGATAGCGATGTTGCATATATCCAGCCAATTTTTCGTTGCATATATCCAGCTTTTACTGTAAATGATTGGTTCAGTAAGCCAAGCGTGAACGTAGAATGGGACAAACAGTGGAGGAGAGAGAGAGATCCAATGATCAAAGGAAAGAGCCGAAACTTATCGGTGTGACTAATACTAATTGAATTATAAAATTTTTTATTTTTGACTTTTTTTAAATGAAACTTTTACTATCGTATTGATGAAACTTTTTTGATTAAAATGATACCAAACACGATATAGTTTGAATTATAATTACTTCTTAAAATTGATGTTAAAAGTTGACGAAAAGCCAGAGAGATCGAAATCAATACATTGCATTAATTCTTATTCCCTACTTAATGTATAAAAGTCAAAATGTCTGATCGTTCGTTTCTCTTTCACATTTACACTTATTGCACTTATTCAGCTTTTAAAAACATGTAAACTCCTAACGTCTGATTCCTAACTTTGCCAGTGCTACGAATTCTGGCGATCTGACGAAATTTTGTCATTAGAAAACGTTGTTGTGCTGGCGTAGCATAATCCGGGACAATCAAAGAAAATTCGAAAATCCCAGATTTTTTAATCACCCCACACTTCCTTGTTAATTTTTATTGACAGTTAAGCTAATATTAACTTTTAACGCATGTATCTCGCAGATTGTAAGTACATAGCACAATTCAGCACAACTTGCAGAATTCGATTATCTGTCGCCGTTCGTAAGTTACACGAATATTAAATTTTGTATTCCTAAAAATTCAACATTTTTTATCTTCAAAATGAACGACGGCACAACGTAGCACAAGTTATCACAAATTATTTAAAAAACAAAGTTTGTTTCGGCAAAAGTGCGGGGCTAGTATAATTTCGTTTTTATTCATTTTCTTAATTGTTATTGATGTTATCGATCTCTCGTTTGCGGCACAATTCAGCACAAACATAGCACAATACGGCACAAAAAAGAAGAACTCAAAATTCGAAAAGTGCGGGGCTATCAAAACTTTTTTTTTTTTAATTTTCTTGAATACGTTTTGACTTACAGAGTTGCGGTTTACGTCACAATACGGCACAAACGTACCACAATGCAGCACAATTTCAAAAAATACAAAATTCGAAAAGTGCGGGGCTAACTTCACACACGTGGAATATTCTCGAAATGTATAGTTTGTACTAAAGAAACACGTACACTTTCTCAACATATTTCATATGCAACAACCTTATAAAAGAGAACACGTACAAATTAATTAATGTTTCGATTATGTATCTGTCTTCTTGTTATTTATATAAAAGAACAACTTTGGTAGCAGGATATTCATTTTTATAAAATGTTCCAGAGGAATGCAAATTGAATAATAACATTGCGAAAGGAGTAAAAAAACTAATTTGCTTAAAATTGTACGGATCTCATATTTTTGTAATGTCTGACTCAAATAAGCTTTCCAGTACTGTTCAACTTTTTATTAAATTCCAACCTCTCTGTTCAAATATTTCTGTATTTTCTATACCTTCTATGAAATACTGGTGAAGTTTGTATTTATGAAATGTTATTATTTTCCACTCAATTAATGTACTGATTATAAATTATTTTCAATAAGGTATAGTAAAGAGCCATTTTTCTACAAAATTATTATTTACCGCCATATTAATACAAAGTAACACAAAAAATGAGTCTGTACATAATTACACAACTATTATGGTGAGGTAATTAGGTAATTATTTTACTATTAGGTGTACAAATTAATTGAATGCCTTTCTAATTACTATTTTAAAAATGTTGTACTATAACTTCTGGAAAATGTATTAAAACAAGTATAAAACAAACATAATATAAATATTTAAAAAAAATAAAAAACATGATTTTAAATTAAAATAAAAACGGCACTGAATTAGCTTGTATTCGAGCTACCAACGTAAACTTTCCCACATTTCTAGTTTTCCAACCTCCCCGTAGGTTTCTTCGAATGGTTAAAGATTGATAATCTTTTAATATAGTATAAAGTCGGGGGAGATGGCCATCTCTTTTATTTAAGTTATTCGCCAGCAGATATCGCTCATATTGAATGACGTGATCAACATTTACGCAGTTTATAATAATACGTTAGTGAAACAACTGTGCGTTTATATTAAATAAATATTTTGCAATAAAGTTTTTTACGAAGCGTCAATCTTTTTTTAGTGTGTGTATCAGTCCTAGAATACTACAGGTATTATTCGTATTTATTTAAAAATTTGTATAACAAGTAAACTGACACCCATGTATTTATTCTGATATTAAACAATAATGCGGTATACAATAAATACAGGGTGTGGCATCTTCCCCACATAAATGGTAGAGATGTCTCACCTTTGATTATTAAAAACAGTTCTCTCATTCGTGTAATATTGTTCGGAGAGGTATGCCTACCGAATAAGAGAAAATGCCTGAAAAGGAGAAAATGGTCTAAATATGCATTACAGGCTACAATAAATACAGTCAAAAAAATAATGTGGGAATTTGAACTGCTTCCCGCAAATAGTAGAACGCTTCAATGTGACAGTTTCAAAAAAACTGCCATGGGTCCTAGTTTCATTTTGATTTTAGTACTTGCGATTATGGAGGCCACCTCTTCCTTATACGACCAGTCATTTCTCCCCCGTGGTATAGGAGAGATGGCACTATACAAAATACTGTTTTACTTGAGTTATCAGAATAAATGTTTATTTCTTTTTCATTTGTAGCATTACACTTTATATAATAAAAATTCTAGATTAACTCAGTGTTGCTTGTTTCTATTAATCAGTAAACATATTGCAAATAATACATTTCTGAACAAATGGGTCATCTCTCCGGTTTTACTCTAATTTAATAGGTAATAATTGTTTATTATTCACTTATATTTCGTATACTTAACTTTGATACAATTTTATAAGCCAAAGTTCATGTGTGCCGATGCAGTGTACCAATATGGGGTATAAAAAGTTAACAATTGTATAATACGTATATTCCAAAAGACTCCAAGGGTTCATTCGCGTTACATAAAGAGATTATCTGGAAAAGAATTAATTAACCTCATAAATACATTCCAGACAATTATACTGACTTGTGATTACGTAACATTCTACATTTTAAGACAGAATTTGTATAAATGGTTTGTAGAGCTCGATCTGGATTACTTGGAAAGGAGAGAGCAGACAATAACCTATGAAAGTACCGAAAGCGGATCGAAAGAGGAAGAAAGCCCCGCAGACACTCTGGATCGTGTCAAAGTTGTGTTTCTCGGTGCACCAGGGGTGGGAAAGTCCAGCATAATCAAGGTGAGTAATAAAAACTATGAAATGTTCCTTGATCTGATTAAGAAACACTATTATAGCCTTTTCATATTATCCGGTTTTCGCCGTCTGATTTTCGTCAGCTGGTTGATATTGTATGAATGAATGAATATATCGGTTGGAAATTGGTAGACGCAAAAAATACTAACAAAAATCGGACGGCGAAAACTAGAAATTGTGAAAAGGCTCTTATTGTTAGATTGTCTTCACTTTGTTTTCTTACCAGTTAAAATAAACACAGTATGTATGTATTAAGTATTTGTCATACAGCTGTCAATGCATACCCTCTACTGCAGTAGCACAACCGTCGAGACACGCGGTCAAAAGAGCCCCTGGAACTTACTCATTGTTAGAAATAAAAACTTTTTTTAACAAATACTGGAATATTTTTGAAAATGACAAAAAAAGTCATCGAAAGTAAAAAGTATGTAACGGGGTCGGTCGGTTCGGTGCGCACGGCGTTGCGCACCGCGATCGGTTTCCCCGTGCCAGGGTTCGCAAGGGAGCAGGTCGGTAAATAACGAGGCAGACATGGTAGAAAAATATACCAAAATAAGTAGTTTATTCAAAACTACTGGGCTGACTACAGTGCGGCGGCTGTCCTCGCCGGGCTGGTTGGACGGCGGTATTCTCCTGCCTCGGAAGCTACAAGCAGAATATCATCTGGTGGTTAGACGCGTGGAGCCAATTCACACTTACACTAATGTACAGGACTTACTAGCTACGGTCGGAACCCGGTCCGTCACAGAAGTTACGCGGCCTTAAAACTAGCGTGGTTCGTAGTTATCGCTACGCGCGGTCTTACAATCTAACGGCGCGATGTCGGAGCGCGGAGTGAAAGCGCTATGCGGAGCGCGAATGCGAGAAAACGTAAACGCAAACGCAAAGTCGGGAGAGGATTAGCCCGATTGGGTCGACGGTGTTTTATTTAAACGCGCTGCGGTGTTTCGCGCTGTGGTGGAGTTGCTGCCCGCTTGCTTCACGCGGCTCGTCTTCTCGTACGCCGAGGTAGAACCGAACAGCGAACGAGACGACGACCAATCCTGGCCAGCTTGGGTAGCGCCACGAAGCTGGACGGAATCGGCTGCCAAAGGCAGAATGCGGCGCCGAGTAGGCTAGCGTTCGGAATCCCTGTGGAAGCACCAGCAGAGATTATGAACACGCACTAGCTTGGTCACCCCGGGTCAACCACGGAGATGACGAGGCTACGCGGCTACGGCTGCTGGACCTATGGGAGCTGCCAGGTCGTGACGTAGTGCAATGTCACGGCCCGACGGCTAGAGATCTCTTCGCCAGGTGAGCCATGACGTCGAGAGCTCTGGTGCTCCGGTCCGGACCTCCTAGGGCGTCCGCTTGGGGCCGGAGCCAGTGATGCCAGAACCGTGGGACGTGGGACAAATCTTTACCCTCTCCACGACGTCCCAGTGACTCCCCTACCGCAGTTGTTTCATCTAATACAAGCGCGTTGTCCCACGTGTCCGTGTGAGCTCTCTGCGGGTTTGGCAGAGTTCGGCTGCTCTCGTCATTTCTACGTTATCGGATCGATGCTCAAGCCGCTAAAGCATGTGGCAGCAGCATCGACGAATCGACAAAATAATATAATTTCGTGCATGGCAATATGGCTGAATTAAGAAACCAGGAGAATCAGTTCGAATCCCGATTTTACGGTTTCAGTTCTGATTCTTAATACATTAACGTTTTTCTAATACATAAAAATACATTTTTGATACATTAATACTATGAAATACATTAACTTGGAAAGCAGTTAAAAAAAGGAGTTGAACTGCATCTTTCTTTGATATTTTTTTTAATATTTAAGTTTTATATATATATATATATATGTATATAATATAAAAATAATGTAACAAATAGAATTATAAATTATAGGAAGAAATATAATTATAATTATAAATAATATAAAAAGTAGAATTATACAATAAATCATACATTCTGCTCGGAGGTTACATTACAATTCATTAATTTACATACAATACAAAACATACATTCAATATAAGACATACATTTCATACAAAACATACATTCAATATAAAAAATACATTTCATACAAAATATACATTCAATATAAAACATACATTTCATACAAAACATACATTCAATATAAAAAATACATTTCATACAAAACATACATTCAATATAAAACATACATTTCATACGAAACATACATTCAATATAAAACATACATTTCATACAAAACATACATACATCTCCGTCTACAAGTATGCGGACACCCTTTAAAACAGAATGTTCTTTTTAAACATGAACCAAATGAGATTTCTTGAGGAGTTGTACAAAATGAATCTACTAGATGATGTGCCTGGTCGTTTTAAAAAATTACAATTTGTTGAAATCGTTAACAAAAATAGTGAAGGATAATTTTTGAACTTTTATATGCGAGCCTATAATGAAAATTATAAACATAGATTTTGCAGATGTAAGCTACAGTGACTCACGAAATTGATCACATCGTACCAATGTTCCTAGTTTTCCTGAAATACAACTTTCTTAGAAATTTAAAATTTAGTAATTTAAATTATTGATTAAACACATTTCCAAAGATCTATAATTTGTCATTACATTTTGATTAAATAAAAAGTAGAACAATGGAAACTATTTGATCAGTTTTGTGAGTCATATGCATGCATATGCATACTGAAAATTTAATCGAGATCCGTCAACGTGTATAAAAGTTATAAGCAATTGAAATTAGTGAAAATCGTGACTAGTCGCAGATAATTTTCACTAATTTCAATTGCTTATAACTGTTAGACGCATTGACATTTTCAACATGCATATAACTTACTTACATCTGTAACATGTATGTTTTTAATTTTCATTACCGGCCCAAAAGAAGCAATTATAAGAAGTGTCCTTCAGTATTTTTTCTTGCTGTTTCTTTAAACATACATTTTCATAATTACAATCTTATCATAGAAACGTTACGTTAAAAAGAAACTGCTTAAATTAAACCAAACAATATAATATTAAATCAGTAATGTATAAACAGTTATTGTTTTCAGTACCAATTTTAAAAAATTCTGTACTTACTTAATTTCTATCTTCTTCTGCTGTTGCTGCATTTAAGTCCAAATATTGGAAAAATCTGAAAAATTCTACAGAAAACTTTAAAAAAACCTTATAAAATATGTTTTTAAAAAATAATAATAGTAGGAATAGTAATATTGATAATAAAAAAAATACTAATAATAAAAAAAATAATAATTGTAATAATAATAATAATAATAGTAATAAGAATAATAATAATAATAGGAATAATAAAAAAATTATGTTAATCAGACTGTCGCTTTTAATGACGGTTATGCAAGTTAAGCGCCATATTTCTTTTGTCTCTTTAAATTTTAAAACAATTGAAAAACGCGGCGACAAATTTCGCGGGAACATGACGTCATGATATCTTTAGTTGTGTATGTTACAATCAGTGATACAAGCTATGCATGTAGAGCAGCGAAATCAGCGCCGCCTGGAAGTCCAGGGGTGAGTTAAAATTTGCATCAACTTCACAAGAGTGGAGCTTGGAGGGCCTGGCCCCGAGGCAACTCATCGATTCACGCATCGATCGGTCCTACTTATAGTCTAATCGCACGGGAGTGGGGATGCCGTCGCGGTGGGGGCTGTCGTCGCAAATAAAGAAAATTAGACATAATATTACCACCATAAATAATAAGGTATAAAAGAATTTTTATAACACCACGCCCCCTATTAGACAATTATAATTGCATCCTTGCTCCACTTATACGTATGAAATAGAGTATCTATTCTACAATCATGTAATATAGGTTCGTAAGCAAAATTCCAAAACTATACAAAAGATTTCGCCCTTACTAGGTGTATCTAAAATGTTCTTATTATACATATAAAAAAAGATGATAAAGACCAACAGCAAATATAATTATTTTTGGTAATTATTGAAATTAGGTTACACCTCATCGATTTTGATGAAATTTAAATATGTTGTAAAATTTAACATTTTTAACAACTTTTTCCTATGCATATAACCGCCGCTCTGGTTTGGTTTTCGAGATATTTTCGAAAAACTGTCAAAACTAACATTGAATTCTGTCTATCCGTGTGTGTCCGTGACATCGTACCCATTAGTATGGGATCGCCGCTGTTCTGTTGTTTCTACAGGCAACAGCACGGTGACCGATGACCAATATACCTTGTGTGGGGAAACTTCCGAAAGGCCCCCTCACTCCAGGACAACCAAACTTCGGATTTATAGTAATTGAGGGACGAAAAATCGAATGAGACCATTTTCAGAACTGGCAAATAAGCCGTTCGCGAGATAAACAGGGTATTCTAAAAGTGTGGGACCCCCCTATCATCTCGATAAGAACACATTTCCACAGAAAATGACTAAAACTGTAGGGGTCCTAAAGTATTATCTTTACGCGCGTGCCAATTATCGTTTTCGGGTAAGGAAAACCCAACACCTGACCCGTTGTCGGCGTAAGGAATGTTGAATTAGGGACGAAAAAGCTACCCTGAGTGGGTTAGCGACTACACCCACCAGGCGCCTTACGCATAACCTAAACCTAACCTAACCCTTTTTTTTTCTTTTTTTTCGTGGGGGAAATCTTCCAAAAGAGGCCCCCAGCCCCCTGGGGAGGGGCCGGGGGGAGTGCCGGATTTTTATCTGCTAAAACCCCTACGGTGACCTGCACAGGGGTGGTGAGTCACTACAAGATAATACTTTACGACCCCTACAACTTTTGTTTTAGTCATTTTCCGTGGAAATGCTTTCTTATCGAGATAATAGGGGGGTCCCACACTTTTAGAATACCCTGTATATCTCGAAAACGGTTTATTTGCCAGTTCTGAAAATGGTCTCATTCGATTTCTCGTCCCTCAATTACTATAAATCCGAAGTTTGGTTGTCCTAGGGTGGGGGGCCTTTCGGAAGTATGCCCCCTAACCCAATCTAATCTACCTAATCAGTGAAATAG